CACCTGCACCTTCTTTCACATTCAGACTTCGAGCTCTTTGGGGCAGAGGTTACTTTTCCTCTGGTCACCTACACCAAAGTCTCCAACAAACAAAGCTGGGTATAACCTTTCCACTTGAAGAAAGACAACTTAGAACCACAGAGTGGTTTGGGATGGAAGGGACCTTAAAGCTCATCTTATTCCATGCTCACTTCTCTCCCTTGACCCTGACTGGAGCTCAACACCTCTGTTCTTCAGCTTTTCTCCCTCAGGAGATGCTCATTTCACTCAGCCCATGGCAGAAGGTGCATCAGTAGCTCAACACCCCAAACACTGCCTGAAGAGCTCCTGGAGCAAATCCCCACAAACTCCCCACACCTGGTGTGGGTGTTGCAGTGCCCGTCTGCCCAGGAGGCAAAAATCACTGCAGCAAAGGAGGATCCCTCTCCTGCTGTGGTGACTTTGCAGCCAATAACTCCCAGGTGTTAAACTATCCTTCTCAAGAACCGCTCCTGTCTGACTTCCCAGCTTGCTTCCCCACTGCTGGGGTTGGGGGAGAACCCTTTTCCCATTCCCCCCCTTATTTGGGAACCAGCCCTGAGGGCAGCTCAGCACCCAGGACTTGTGCTTCACTTACTGGCTCCTGGTTCCATCCGGGCCATGCCCTGGGCAGAGCTCAGTGCTGGCTCCTGGTTAATCCAGACAGGCACCTTTTTGACTCCTGTGCTGGACTTTCCTGGCAGGGAGGGACACGGGGGCCAGCCAGGAAAGGAAAGTTTCTAAGTATAAACTCCACAGCATCCTCAGGCTCAAAGAAGTGTCAAAGAAGGAAGCACGTGGTTGACCCGAACTATTTATAAACTGAGACCCGCTGGAAACACGATGGAACCGAACCAAACTCCTGTTTCCAAGCCATCCCTCTCCCCACAGCCTGTCACCTGAGCGGTGTGACATCAGCCAGTCCTTGGCTCTGGCTTTCCCAGGGGCTGAACTGTGGCTGAGAGCACAAACCATACCCTCAGATGAAAAGCAGGTCCTGGACTCCCAAGGGTGCCTGGAGGGTGGCCCTCAGAAAGGTGGGGGTGTCAGTGTTTGGTGCACACCAGAAGAGAGCTTGGCTGATGCTGCTGGAGAGAGTTCTCCCTGCAAAGGGCTCTGAGCATTTTGCCGGGAGCATCACGGGGTGGACACTGCCCCTTGTTTCCCCCCTTGCAGCCTTAGGGAGGGCAGCCAGTGAGGGTAATGTGCTGGTTATGTGGGAGGGGTGCTCCAGGTCCCCAGGACCCCTAGAAGGCTGGAGCCAACCTCAGGAGCTGGCTTTCCACCTGGGCTGAGAGTTGCAAGGCAGGAGGGACCCAGCACTGGGATCATTGCCCCGCTGTGGTGCAGCAGATACCCCAGCTCGGCTCATCCCCTCCTCAGAGAGGAGCAGCAGCTCCTTGTGCCAGCCAGGGGGAACCTCCCCAGTCCCAGCTGGGATGAGGACAGAGGGCTCTGATCCGTCCCTGCTCCAGCAAAGGCTGCAGGACATCACACCGAGCCCTGGGGAGCAGCAGTGCAGGGCTCCCTTCCTGGCACTGCAGCCTCTTTCTCCCACGTGGCTGGAGAAGAAAGAAGGAAGGACACAGGGGCAGGGAGAAGGAACTATTTGGGAATGGAGGAGTCCTAGAAATGTGACATTTTAAGACCTAGGCCTATTCTGGGTCATCAGAAACAGTCTGGACTGGGAAGGTCTCTGCCTTCAGGTCGAGCAGGTTCCTCCTTTAGGGCATTTTTAAAGAGCAAACTTTGCAGGACTCTCTCACCTATGGATCCATTCCTTGCCAACCCCCGCAGCAGCCTCTGCCCCCTAAATCCATGGGGAGGTCAAGATTTGGCCACCAGGAAGAGCCCCATCCCCTCCTAGGCGAGGCCCTGGGGGAATGAGGCTGCTCCCAGACACTTCTGCCACACAGACAGGAGTCTGTAGGGAAAGGAATTGTGTGCCATTTGTCACAACAGAAAGCTACCAAGGGCAGCAGCACGGAGCAAGGAATTGTTCCCAGGTCACAGCTTTCTCTGCAGAGCTCGTGGCTGATCCTCCTCACAACGTCCCACACTACAGAAGGGAAGGATCCCAGGTTAGTTCTGGTGCCGTTGTGCTGCTCCTGCAAAGTGATAATCCTGCTTTTATCCCCTGTTCCCCTCACAGGAGCCATACAGGATGCTGCACTCCCAGTGACTAGCAACTTAATTGGGTTTAAGATGTGTAAAATTTAAAAACTGCTGTGGGAGGAAAGAACAGGAACCTTTTCCCTAAAATAATACCCCAAGTGCCCATTTGCTGTGTGTGCTGTGTGTTCATGCATTTCTTCTCCTCACAGGGTGGTGGGTGTGTAGAAATGAGACCTTCCTGTTCTCTTCTTTGCATCTCGTTAATGCTTTGAGTCTCTTCTGTAGCAGCAGCACCTCTGGCTGCTGCTTTTGCACCACTTTTGCTGGGGAGCCTCCGAGCTCCTCTCCCAGCCTCAAACCCACACAGGGCCACTCCCCGCTCCCCCCTCGGGATGCAGCAGCGTTTTCCCTCCACCTTATTAGAAAACCAGCTTCGAATTCCACCGGTGGTTTGCAAATCCCAGCTGAGAGCCATCGGCTGGGGGGAGCGGTGTCTGTTTTCACGAGGTCTCAGCCCCCCCCGAGGGGAGGAGGTGGGAGCAGAAGAGGTGCTGTCCATGTGTCAGGCGGGCACGGGGCAGTCCCAGGCCAAACTCACACCTCATCACAGCAGCTTATTAACCAGCCCAGGCAGCAATCCCACCGTGTTGCAACCCCGGTGTGGACATGGACGGATGGGGAGACACATCCCGGTGCTGGAGGCAGTCAGGACAGCTGAAGCCTTATCTGCCTGGGGAGTTCATGAGATGACGTGCCGATTTTTCTCGTGCTCTTTGGAAAGGGGGATGAGAGGCAACAGTTTGGGTTCCAAAAACACACTCGAGAAATGTGCCTGGCCGTGGGATTGTGGATCCATCTGCTGCTGTTTAATGAGCTCCCCCTGAGAGCGGCACCGAGATGCTGCTTGGGAGCTGTGCCGGGCAGGGGTCTCCACCTCCCACCCCAGGCAGCGGGGCAGGACAAGGCACCCCTGCACCGAAAATACGGCCCCACCTCGGCTCCAAAAACATTCTGGCACAACTCACTAACTTGGATTTTATCTGCAAACGTTTTCAGCCCGATACCACTGGGAATCCTGATTTTTCCGAGACTTACCAACAGGAAATCCCGGGGCTGGAGGGCTCAGCTGTAATGAACTTCTTGTGTATTCAAGCACTGAACGTCGATTTGGATTACAACCTCAGAAAAAAGCACTGAGAGAAGGCAACTGTCCCCTGGGGTCACCTGTCAGGAACTCCCTGAGACTGCCCAGATAGGGACCAGCACAGCCCTGAGTTATATTTGTCCCCATGCAAATGTATCAGCTAAGACTGAACAAACCTACTACGCCTTGGAGACGAGCCCCCTCCTCCTCTCCCAGCACCTTTTCCCACTTTGCACAGGGATTCCTTGGCTGTGGATGCTCCATCAGAGGCTGCCCAAAGAGCTCTGGAGCAGTCAGAGGTGTTGGGAGCCTAAATCCCTGTTAGTGCACATCTAAACCAGGGCCACTTGGGTCGTTGTGGGAGCCCAGAGCCCCAGGCACAGCCAGGATTCCCACCCTGCCAGGCACAGAGGTGAAGACAAGACAGGATGCCAGCAGAAAGCAGCACAGGGGCAAGAGGGACAATACACACCTTCCCCTGCAGGCACGTGGCCACAGCCCTGCCCCTGCTCAGGGCTGCCAGCAGTGCCTGGTAGCTCATCCACCCTCTTTTCTCCACAGCCTGGGTGCAGACAGGAGCAGGGAGGCTGGACTGGAAAGCTGGACACCTCCATTCGTTTCTCACACTCCACCCTCATCACTCTGATAAAAACCTGCAGCAGGAACGTGGCTGAACGTGCTTGAGCTCAACTGGGAACTAAGAGAGAAGATACTGCAGCATCATAAACAAGAGTCTTGAGCTCTGAACAGTCACAGAACCACTGAGGCTGGAAAAGCCCTCCAAGGCCATCCAGCCCAACCGTTCCCCAGCACTGCCAAGGCCACCACTCACCCATGTCCCAAGTGCCACATCCACAGGGCTGCCAAACCCCTCTAGGGATGGGGACTCTGCCCTGGGCAGCTGTGCCAGGGCTGGACAACCCTTTTGGGGAAGATTTATCTACATCAGATCCACTCTCTCCAGCAGCATCTCCAGTTACATTTCAAGGCAAATAATTTCCATCTCTTTCTCTCCATTCCTCACTCTTCCCTTTCATGCAGCTGTATTTCAGTCATGCTGTTCAACATTGCAAAAGAGCTTAAAGTGAAATTTCTGCCTCCTGTATCTTCCCACTCCAGCTCCAGGACTGTACAGATGATGCCTTGGCTTTTTCCTCTCTGCTGACAGACAGATGGGGTGGGAGAAAAGAAAAAAAAAACCAAACAAAAAAACTACCAAAAAACCCCTGCTGCTGCCTGGAGAGCCCCTGTAGCTCTTCACATTTCACTGCTCCCCACCAGCGACTCCATGTCGTGGACAGTCCCCTCCCAGGATTGTGCAGCAAGGCTCCCGTTCAGGGGGAACAACAGCCTTCCAGGCAGACAGCTGGTGCCTGTTAGCTGGGATCACAGGAGGTGCTGATGAGCAGCAGTGCCTCCCTGGAGAGGGAACACAGCCCTTCCACCAGCCGGGAACGGCTGCAAACCCAGCTGCTCCCAGCCCCACCGTAGGCTTGTCCAGCTGTGTGCCACCTTTTTGGGAGAAGCATAGAAAAACCACTGCAGTACCAGGATCTGGAGCCAGCAAGGCAGTCGAGGTCTTCAGGCCAATCCTCCTGCCCAGATATTCCCTTTTGGAGCAAGGTGGGTTTGATGACCAGTAAGCCCAGGAGTTCTGGGTGCTGGGAAGGACACTGTGGTTGAAAGCAGGAACACAAAGGAGCCATTAAGGAAGACGCACAAGTTGAGAGATACTAATCGGGTTTATTTTATAAATACAGATGAGCTTTCCCGCAATTACCAACATAGTTTTAACGTGCCATTTACTCTGGGATATTCTGGTCTTGCTTATTTGAAATACCTGGTCAAGCAAGGATAAGCCAGTGCTGTTGTGCTTGCTATAAAAATATAGTGGGATCTGATCTTCCAAAACTAATATTCTCAAAAATCTCAGGAATTCCTAAGTGAGGGGAAAAGACTGCAATGAAATGCTTTCTCCACTTGAAGACATTTGCAGGCATTTAACAGTGTCACAGCTGTGCAGGAACTGAAAGGCTTTTGACAGTGGAAAAGCACGCTGTGATCTATCATCTCACCTCCAAACCTACTGTTGGTTTCTCTCCCACTGCGCTGTTTGCAAAGTAATTTACAGGGGGTGGAAGAAAAATAAACACACAAACAAGGAGAAGCTACGAGATGGCTGCAGCCTGTACAACCCCCCAGAGGAGCTGGGCAGTGTTGAACCAGCCCTGTGACCCTGTCCCTCCTCACACCACCTGCTCCACGGGAAGTGGTACAAGAGGAAAAGAAACCCAGGGATAACTGAAGGCCTCCTAAAGGTACTTCCACGGAAAGCCTCTCCAAGCAGCTTCGTGCGACAGATGCAGAAATCAACCATTGTGCCTGACACATTAACAATTACAGGGCTCAAACAGGAACAGCAACACAACACTGGGGAGCAAAACTAGACTGCATTTGGTTTGTGCAACCTGAGAAAACGAGCAACTTGTGAAAAGAGAAATGATGCCAAGTGCCACTGGTGCCCTGCAGACCCGATCCCACGTGTGGCCCCACGTCCGCCAAGAGACACAGCGACCTCACAGCGACCCTGGGGGCTGCTCTGAAATGTCACTACCACAGTCAAGTCACGCCCTCCTGTCACACAGGAACACGAGGGTGCCTACAAACAGGATCTCCGAGTGCTCCCATCCAGCACCTCAGCCTGGGACAGACCAAGGCCAACAAATGGCTGTAGAGAGGCCCGATCCGCCCACCCAACTGCAGACAGAGCTAACAGAGGAAATGTGAACATCATTTAATACAATCACTAAAGATGTTAGCTGGAAAAAATGCATATCCTAGGACAGTGCTATTATGGATATTGGTTCTCACATACACGTCTTGTTCTGACAACAGAGAGCTGAGATTATACAATTCCACAGTTGAACAAGGGAATTTTGGCTGGCCTTACGGTGAAGGCAGGGAAAGACTAGGTTGTGGTTCAAAAGAAAGCATAAAACCAGGGAAGAACAAAAAGCCAGGCATGATGAAGTGTTTTTTATTCTGCTATATGTTTTTATATTTCAGAGCTCACAGCTGAGCCCAGATCCTCGGGTACACAATATAGAAGGCAAGAGCAATGAAATCCAAATGGAAACAAACACCAGGAATGGCAGAGCAGCTGCAAATTGCTTTCCCATTAGTGCAGCTGAACACGTGTGGCAGTGCTGACCTGCACCTCCAGCAAAGCCCTGGAAGCTTCTTCCTTCCAAGTACAGATGGTTTAAAAAAAAAGGATATTAATTCAGATGAATAATGTGAAATGCCTCCTTCCTGCAGAGGGTGGAACAATTCCACACATTTGCCTAATTCCAAAGTGCTGACTGCGCTCCCAGGGATTTTAGGAAGACGTCTGCAGTGCCCCTGTGTCCCCAGCAGACCCCTGGGAGGGTGGCAGCTGAACCCTCTGTGTTGGCAGTGGGTCCATCAGGTCTCTACCTGTGCCCAGCCCCAGTGGGGAAGGGTCAGGCTGAGATCACTGAACAGAACCTTGGAGGTGATTTACTCCTCAAGGTTTCCATGGGAAGGAAGAGCGAGTATGGAGGAGGAGTGGGACAAAGCCCCAAATGTCATTTCTGATTAACCAGGTGCAGGTATCACACAGCTGCTCATTCTCTGGCATGTCCTCACTGCCAACTGAAGACCCATCAGTGCAAACTAGAACTTCACAGGCTCCAGAGCCCAGCCAAGAGAAAGCTGTTCAACTGGAACTAATCCATGGTATTTCTCTAACACTGGCTACATTGCTCAAGCATACACAGGAGTACATGGGAGAAGGCAAAGATGTCTTACCATAAATGTACTTTTAAATTAAAGGGTGTTTGTTTTTTTTTTTCTCTTCTGAAAAGATTAAAATAAATTTAACTCTAAAGAATAATTAAGAAATCAACAAATATTCATAGAAGGGCCTGATCAGCACTAAAAGCTGTTTTCAGGAAAGCCTTTATAAATGGATTCCAAGGCCTAAAAAAAAAAAGAATTCCAACAGATTATAAATACCAGACATAAAAGGACTGGAAGCAGAATAAACCTTTACCTGGGGCTGTGCACGTTACCATGATCCTGCGTCACCGTGCTCAAGTCCATTTGTCTAACACCATAGGAACAGCTTTAGCTTTTTTATTTTTATAATTAATATAAAGAATAAGTGCAATTTGATTTCCACCCAGAGCACTGATTCCCCCCCTCCCCGTCCCAGCTCACTTGTCCGAGCTCTTGCGGGCCCTGCGGAAGCTGGACATGTTCTCGTTGAGGGCGTAGATCCTGCGGGAGAACTCCTCGAACTCCCCCAGCACCTGCTCGTCGCACTCCACGGCCACGGCGTGCTCCACCGGGATGGAGTTGAAGTCCTCCAGCTGGTCCCCCGAGCCCAGGGCCGTGGCCTCCATGCCCATGATCTCCTCAGCCTGCTCCACGGCGCAGCACAGCATGGGCCCGGGCAGCTGGCGGGGCTGCTCCTGGCCCTGCTCCTGGCCCTGCTCCTGGATCCCGGGGCCCGGCCCCACCGCCCCGTTTATTGCACTGCAAGGGCCCGGGGAAGGCTCCTGCCGGCCCCGGCGCGGCTTCAGGCTCCCGCTCTCCCCGTTCAAGCTGCCGCACAAGTCCTCGCCTTTCCTGGCGTTCCCCTTGGAAGAGTCCAGGGAGGTGTCCAGGGAAGAGCTGATGGGCCCGGCCGTTTTCTCCGGCTCCCCCGCGGGGGCTGGGACGGCCACAGGCTGTGTTAAAGCAGAGTTGTAGCTGGGAGGAGGAGTTTTGTACTGCAGTCTCTCGTTGCCGGTGCTGGCTCGTTTCCGGAGTCCCTTGTCCGGGGAAGGAAGCCCACTGGAGAAGCCAACGTGCAACCTGCCGAAGCTGGAGCTCTGTCTCTTTGGAACGGGGATCGCGCTGGACGTGTGGTGCCGGTCGCTGCAAGGGAAGGCAGGAGGAATCAGGGCTGGCAGGCAGCTCCCCAGCAGCGCAGATGTTTAACCAAAGGCTGCAGCGATTCTTTTATCGCAACCCCGGGCTCCGCTTGGCCAAGGACTCGCATCCTGAAGTGCTAAAGCCCCACGTGTTTAGTGCCGTGCGAACCACAGAACACACCCCAGAGGAAACTTCCCTGAGAAGCAGGGAGGCTGTGCAGGAACTCTTACAGAGCCCCATGGTTTGGAGAGTCAATCACCCAAGAAACCACCACATTATGTTAATTCGGACTGTTAACACCGTTTTATAGGACCAAGCTGCGCTTTATGAATTATTGCTATTGACTGTGTATTTATGAATTTATGGCCTGTGCTGGGCCATCATAAACTCTTCAAAAGTGAGGATTGATGGCTGAATCCTCCACGAGCAAAGAATTCAACAGTGGACTTCCCTAACAGCTGCTCAAAGGAGGAAAACCACATCAACTTCGCTATATGCAGAAGGTTATTCTTGCCAGATCTTCTGCTTTTCTGTGTCAATCATTCCAAAATTTCTGGGCAATCATCAGCCTCTGTTTCTTGAGGAACACAAGCGAATCAAGCTTAATTTACAAGTCTGACTTCACTATTTAATTCAGTTCCACAAACCACTTTCACTGTCTCAGGTTCAATAATTTGGAACATCAGCTTTGCATCATCTGAGCTGTGTTATGTGAATTCTCTTTCACTGGCTTAACCCTTATCCAAATATAACCACCACCCCATATGCAAATATCTAATATGTACATTAACATAAGGAACCAGTTCATTTTCCTCCGAATTAAAAAAATAATAACAAAAATACAGCTATTACATAGAGTTATATACATAACTCTTAAGATTCCACTGCTGTCAGTAGGAGCCTCCTTCATGAACTCCATTTAAGAGAAACTCCTTATGTTCAAGGCCTGATACATTTTAGGATTTGCCTTGCAGGGGAAAATCTTGGAATAGCAGTTATGGGGAGTCCCTAGTGTGGATCCTTTTCCACAAGACTTTTCTTGTTTTGCTGCCCCTTGTAAATAGGAGGAAGTTGATTGCAACGAGTCCCTCTGTGAAGAATAAGTGTCCCCATGGCAGGGCAGTGAGCAGCACTACTGCTCTTTCATTTCCTCTCCCATCCCAACTCCTCCCAGGCTGCCCCTTAATTCCTCTGTAGGCCTTCCTTCTCTTCCATAAAGCCCTCAAATCACCTGAAGGAGAAGTTGGTTTTCAGGATACACATTTGCAGAAGTGGATAGGTAAGGGCCACACATGGAGGGAGCAGCAAAAACGTCAGCTTTTCCTTAAGATTTCAACAGCTGCCTCAGACCTTTTGAATGCAAACTCCACAAAGCATTTGCAGCTTTGTATGTCAACCAACCCCTTCACAATCAACCATTTATTTTTGAAGTGATGTAATATGACAAACACGAGAATCTGAGGCAGGAGACTCGAGAACTCGGGCAATGTGCACTGCAGATATACTGGGGATGGTCTGCTTTCCCTCCCTTCCCCCAGCTTAGAGCTTTCTGCCCTTGCTCAGAAAATAAATGAATACTCTGCATTTCTTATTTGATGGGATTCTGTTTATCTGACAGTTAAGATGGCAAGCTCTAGGAATTTACCCAAGTTCCAGAATGTGCAAATATTCACAAAGCCAGATAGTCAAGACACATCATCGGTTCCAGGGGCACATCCTCCTATGTTTATGTGAACTGATTCCTCAGGACAAGCGATAACTGAGTCCTGCACATCACTGCTCCAATTACAGGACACACTGCAATGAAGCAGATGGTGCTTTTCAGTGCAGGAGATCGCAGGTTTTGCTGCCTCTCCAGTTCCAGATACTTGCCTTGGACACTTCCAGGGATGGGGCAGCCACAGCTTCTCTGGGCAACCTGTGCCAGGGCCTCCCCACCCTCAAGGGAAGGATTCCTCCCCAATATCCAACCTAAACCTACTCTCTGGCAGTTTAAAGCCATTCCCCCTTGTCCTTTGAGCTTCACAGCTCACGGAATTAGTACAAAAACTATGTAAAAAAGGAAGTCACATTGGAAAACAATCCTCCAACTGCTCAGGAAGTTTCGAGACCGTCAGGTACCGTCCCCAGTGAGGAGGGCTTGGCTTGCAGGAGCACAGCCCTTTACTCCAAGGTACAGCCTTGACCTGAATTACTGGGGTTGAGCTGCTTCCAGCTTCCAGCCCCAATTCCCTGGCCCATCTCCTGAGACAGCAAACAGGTGTGGATGCCTGTCCACAAAGAACAGCCTGAGACTAGAGGAGTATAAAACCTGAGCTGATGAACTGTCATCAGGCCCCAAAGACTTTTAGTCATCAGGCTGGATGAGACTAGAGCTGGTTACATATATGTACAGTTCCTCTCAGAAAGCAGGACTTCTAAATTAAAAGTAAGAGAGAGAAACCTCAGGTTTATTGGACATTCTAGATAAGAGAATGACATCATCCCCCAATCTCAGTGTTTCAATTGCATCCAAACCTCAAAAGCCAATTTGTAGCGGTCTAACTTCAGCTGTAAGTTTTCCTGGTGGCAAAATTACGAAGTAGCTATTTTCTGCCCCAAATGTTAGTTTGCACTAGTTAATAAATAGTCCATTTGGGCATTCTAAGGCACAAGGCACAGACTGCATGCTGTAAACAGGCGAGATGAAGTGACTGAAGCAGGACACAAACATTTCTGAAGTTATTTTCCTAGTGAACACTTTCTGGTTGTTTGCAGTTCTGATAAAAAGCTCCTTCAGTCAGATTCACTTGTGATTATTTAATCTGTCTGCAAGGGGTTCAGAGAAGCTGTAAAGCAGTATGAGGGACAGAACACAATTCACAGGCTCAAATATGTATCTTTTCCTCCCCACAAAATGTTTCCTCTGAGAAACATTACTGGATCACAGCTGGTTAAAATACTAAATCTTGATTGCCTGGCCAAGAGCCAAAATCCACAGCTACAGCGCTTTGGTATGAGAATGCTTTTAAAAAAACCCAACAACTTAAACACCATTTGATCTTTTCTGTTGCAAACTATGACCTCATGGCAGCAAGAACGCTAAATGAAGGTGTTTAGGTTGGTTTACAGCCATCCATGAAACGGTTTGAAGCTCCAAGAGCAGCTCAGAGCCAGCACCGTGTCAACTGTGCTAAAACAGCAATAATAGTTTCTCACCTTCTTAGAGATTACTGGTTCAGTAAGGTACAACAGCCACAGGGAGGCTGCCAGTATGAAGCTGAGGTGAAACCGCATCTTTTGGCAGCTGAGAATTTCTAAGACATGTTAAAAAAATACCAAATCTTCACAAATTAAGCTACCAGAGTTTTCTTAGCTCCAGAGTTTTGGGCTCCTCTCGGTCCTAGCGGCACGTGAATCAAGACAAACCTTCAAAACACAAATTCAAGCCTTGGCACACAAGTATTTTTGAGGGAAGCCTTTAAATGCAACTCAAAAGGGCATCTCCCTGACTACAGACAAGCCCCTCCAAAGGAGTATCTTGTATTTGCCAGCATTAGATAAGTCTATTGTCTATCCACCAGGAAAAAGCCCTCCTCCCTGGACTGCTCAAGTTTGCAGAGAGCTCTTTACTTGCTGTTAGTAATCACACTGTCCCTCAGAAGTTACACAGAGTGAAACAAAAATAAGCTGAAGAATAGGAGAGAAAATGAGTCAGTCTCTTGATTTAATGCAACCATGATCTAAAGAGCCTGAGCTTGTGGAAGGTGCATCTGAACACGCCAAAGGAATAAAATCATGTTAAAAACATCCAGGCTACGTGTAAGGAGAGATTTGAGAGGGGCTTCTAAAAAAAAGAGGGAGAGCAACTTTTTAAGCAGGCAGAGAGTGATGGGACAAGGGAGAACAGTTCTAAACTAAAAGAGGGGAGACTCAGATTATACATGAAGAAGAAATCCTTCCCTGTGAGGGTGGGGAGGCCCTGGCACAGGTTGCCCAGAGAAACTGTGACTGCCCCATCCCTGGGGGTGTCCAAAGCCTGGTTGGACAGGGCTTAGAGCAACCTGGTCTAGTGCAAGGTGGGGGAATTGAAACTGGATGATCTTTAAGGTTTCTTTAACCTTTCTGTGATCTGGTCTCAAAAGCTGGAATAAACTGCATGCTCAGAAGACTTTAAGAGGAAAAACTGCACAGGGCCTTTTGCAACGGCAAAAAGCTGATCTGAAAACTGAGCTGCTTTTGTGGAAGCCAGTGAAACTCCAGGGCTAAAAAACTGGACACAGGGAGAATTATTCCCAAAAGGAAACAAAAAGATTCAGGGAACCACAACCGAGACAGCTTAAATCAACAACAACTTTGGCTCATCATCTTTCACCTTCAGATTCAGCATCCAGATCTGATGTCAGGAACGTCCTTTTCTGCAGCTCTGTAGCCCCTGTAACAGTGTGAGGGAACCAACAGATCTGTCTTGATTTTGTCTACATCCAGCACAAATCATATTTTGCAGTAGGGGGAAGGGGGAAGAAAAGTAAACACAGCAGGATATTGGTGCCAGGAGAGACATGAAGAGGGAAGCAGAGCTTGTAGACCTGCAAGCTTGCTGCCATAAATCACACGTGGAGGGATGTGAAAACATGGATTAATCATTTCAGTGTCATGCCTGAGGAACCAAAGCAACACAGATCTCCCCAGGCAGAGGGATCCAGCCATCAAACCTTCATGCACAGGCACTGGGCTCTCAGCCCTCCCACAGGGCCAGCGCTGACCCAGAGACCTGAAAGCCAAATCTGCTCTGATGCACAAAATAGGAGGGCTCTTCTACAAGAGCTGTGTGGGATTGTGTTGGATGGTTTTTAATCTGAAGAGGTAAAGAAATTATTATGTACCTAAATCTAAACTGATGCTTATCAGAGGGAGGTTAAGCCTGAAATAACCATGTATTTCATTTACACTGAATATCTAAGGGATTCAGTTCAGTCCAGGTTGCAGAGAAGTGCAGATGTCTCAAGTCAAAAGCAAAAATGAGCTCGATGCGTGGCCTAGGAGATAACACCAGTTCTGTTCAAGGAGAAACCTAGTCCAGTGCAAGTACTGGTTTTTTAATACCAGCTCATTATGGTTTGACAGAACTGAAATTCAGCAAAGCCCAGCTCCAGTGCTCAGAAAGGAAACTGAAGAGCAGCAGCAAGTCCAAACAAACCTGGCAGTACAAGTGAACATGTAGATAAAAACCCTCCTGTGTCCCTGTTCTCATCCTGCAAACCGAGGATAACCTGGAAATACTTTACTGATTACGGTTTGTGGCACAGGGTATTCACAGGGATTCACCTACAGTATCCTAGAAACACAGAATTCCTTCCAATCTTCATTTTAACAGCTGGTGGCTTTCCTGCTTGTTCCAGTGTAGGGGATCAGGTATTACCTACAGGACAGTGGGCATCTGTACTCTGCCCAATTATCAAAGTCTAGCCAGCTTTCCCCTCGAGCTGTAAAGCCTCACTTCCATTTAAATTATTAGGAAGCACTAAGAGCATTGTTTGGAATCATTAGCCTTGGAAAAAAAAAAAAAGGTTAAAAACGAACAACTATTCTCACCAGTTTTGGAGGTGAGAAGGAAATGAGGCATAGACATCCATGGGTGGGGGGAAGGAGGGAATGTGATACTCCCAGAGAACTGGGCTTGATATTGCTAAATGTTTGGAAATATTATCCAGCCAAAAAAATGTGCTTTGGGTTGCTAATGACTGTGCACCACCTACAGCAAACAACAAGAGGGTTGGGTGATGGCAAAACCTCTAAGCCAGACTAAGACTCGCTCTAAGGCAGAATCATACAGAGGGTGCCCCGCTACCAACCATTAGACACAGTCTTAAGGCACCAGTTAACTCTCCTCCCTCTCGTGAAGAACACTGCTTCTCACACAGGCTTCCCCTCCTACCTCAACCTCTGAGAAGGGCTGTGGGCCCATAATACAGAAGGTAAGAAAACAGTGGCCATTTACGTGGTGTGTATTTTGGGCAACTCCCAGTCTCACCAACTTGTGAAGAGGAGCTGCTTGTTTGTGATATATCCTTACCTCCAAATGTTTTTGTAGCACCCACCTCTTTATTTTAATCAGACAAAAAAAAACAAACCAAAAAATACTTACCATCTCACCATTAGCCCAATCTCCATGAAGTTTTTCAGGTTGGGAAGAGTTTGCCTTAGATCTGGAGTACTCAGCCCATGCTGATACCTAAGCTACAAGAACAGAAAAAAACCCCTTAAAATCAGCACAGCTTTCCAAATCCCACAGAACATAACACTATGGTCAGTTAATTTACCAGGCTTTCAAGAAAGCGTGGGATGATTATCCAGCAGTTCCAGGAGATTTATTCCTCTTAAGGAAATGTTCCATTTAATACTTGTATTAGCAGAACCCACCCAAGAACAGGGACAAAATAATCAGTCAATCTGAGTGTGAAACCTCCTTCCACTTTTTCCATTTTCTATCTGTCACAGGAGAGCAGCCTCACAGCTTAACGAAAACACAGCCATCAGGGGAAAGGACCAAATTTCAGCACAGCATTCTGAATCCACCAATTCCAAACATTTATTTGTGTGCAGGGGTCACTTGTCAGTCTCAGTGTCTGCTGGAATCAGTAGTGGAATTGTTACAGTTACATCAACCAGTAAAAATACATATTGTCACACAACTGATGGAAATCTGTGCTCCTTGCACAGTTTATATCAACAGTTAAAGTCCCATAATTAAACCCAGCACTCAAATCAGATGCCACGTAGCAAAGGGAAAGGCTTCAAACACCGACTGACTTTAACCCCACTACTGACTCCTCCAAGCTGCTTTTCCAAACCTCAGATTATGACATCCACATGACAACTGTCACTGATGGGAACTATAAACTACATGCTTGACAAGTTGCCAGATTAAAAATACCTTTGAAGAAAACAGCACATGAAAGGGAGAAAGCCCCTCTTTCAAGTCTGAATCTCAAGACTTTGGGGGAAACTTAGCAGAGAAATGTATCCCTCGTGTGGTTAAAATATAAACAAATATATCAATATAACAAGAGAAATATAAAAAGAAATACAAATATAAAATATTTAATATAAATAAATGCTAACTATAAAATATAAATAAAAATTATAAATATAAACACAAAATTATAAACACAAACAAAGAATATAATACATTTATCCCTTGTGTGGTTAAAATATAAAGAAAAAGTCTCTAAATTCCAGTATCTTTCAGGCTATTGGGATGAAGCACTACCAATTTAATGAGGAGGTCTCAGCAGATGTTAAAACACCCTCTAGAAGTCCCAGTTGGCCTCCAATACACACAGCAACTGTGCAAATTCCATGCTGCTTGAGCTACCTGCTGAAACATGGAGAAAAATCCCACTCCAAGATAAATTAATTTAGAATTCCACTCCTGTTTCCATAATTCCTGACGGTAAGGTGCAAGGCAAGCATCCTCTAAGCTTCCAGAATCTGACTCCTCCCAAACAATCAGTTTGTCACAGAAAAAGACCCCTGAAGTTGGGAACGCTTTTTCTGCTCATCTGAGTTTTAGAAAGAAAAAATTACTTAGGGAGAAAATAGCCCTCAGTCCTGCACTGTACACCAGGAGGCCATTTATTCCAGGTTATTATTTCCACATGGACACAGCCAAGTCACGTGGTGGGCTTGGATTCACATCTTCTGCTACAGTGACAGAGCCTGGATTAAGACAACCATACAACATAAATTCCAAAACCATCACCACACTCTCCTGATGGGATTACAGGGGATTTGGTTTGCCAAAGAACTTGCCTGGAGCAAAAGAAATAAAGAAGAAAGGGGAGGGGGAAACCCCACCAAAATCAAAACCTTTACATTTGTTCCTCCTCCAACAACTGAAAGTTCATAGAATACCCCTTTTTATAACCATCTCTAAATTCTAAGGTTTTAGAGCGGGAAAGAATTGGATTAAGGGTTCTTTCTATTTCCAACAGCCAAGATCAGAAGAATGCATGGGAGACTCATATTAAAACATGAGCAAAGCCACTGTTTCTCCTAAAACACATTTTCCTATTGCTGATAGTAGAGTTGCACATTAAGTAAAGTGAAGATGAAAGTTTTATTTGAAACCTCTAGAAAAAACTCCCATTTCAGGCTGTGAACCAGCTCCACTCTGAGCATCTCTCAACCACTACTCCAACCAAGCATCTTCATCAACGGGACTTTTGTACCTAATTAAACTCATGCCAGACACAGAAAAGCTTACTGCCTTCCTACAGGCAACAATTCCACATTAAAACCTTCATTCATCCAATCTACCAGTACAGACCCCTGCTCTGTGAGCTCATTAAGACACAGACCTGCAAAGGTTTTCAGTTACTCTCCTATAAAGTCCGTAAGAAGGACTAGAGCCACTAAAGTTTTTTCAAGTAAGCTGGCTTGAAAAGAAACCACTTAGTTATCTTTCTATTTCTGGGTAATTGCAGATTGCACCCAAGATCGCAATTAGGGGGTTTTGCCACTCTGGGGCTGCCTTTTAAGAAAAATACCGGTATCCTGCATTTATGTGCAAAGAACAACAGCCCGTTTCCTGCCTGGGTTCCTGTGACAGGGTTTCATGACTGCTGCTATACAGGCACATACATTTACTTTCAGCCAGAAACCACAGAGTACCTGGACTGGAATATCTTTTTTTGGGGGAATGCAGAATGACTCCAATTCTAAACTCATCTGTTCATCATTTCCCATATTGTTTCCCCAGCCATATTCATCTTGTTCGGAGCCATGTGGAAGCAGTCTAACAGCTCAGAATATGTTATTAAAGTTCAAAATAGCTGCCCCTTCACTACATGTTATGCATAATATTGAAGTCTGCGCTGAAATCTGCTGTACTTTTGGACTTCCCTCAGTCTCTCAACTGGTCCTTGATGTTGCAGCACCATCTGTACCTACACAGGAGGTGGACCCAACCCACTACACTGTGCAAAGCTCCTGCTCTGCTAAGGCAGTCAAGAGCAATTTGGAATTACTTTCAGCTAAATGAGGAGTTTCTCTTGATAGCATCAAGAATTTAAAAAGAACATCTGCTCCGCAAATGTGAAAACCTACAAACAAAAATAGAAGCAAAAGTGTTCTTTCAATCAGCTTTGCAGAGCTGGTCACAAGCCAGGCATTTACGGAAAGGTTTTCAGAGGATGTCAAACGCTGGGACAGAAATATAAAATGCAAGTTTTAATAAAATGACATAGTTAATTGTTTTACAAGATCCTGGATGACTTTTCAGAGGATGAAGGAGCACTGGCTGGGGTTCAGATGACTAAGCAGTGCAATAATGGAAACAGAAAGTGTTGTTACAACGCCTGTTGCTATACAGACAACCTCGGGGCTCGGTGAAACAACGCCTGCTGCTATATAAACAGTTTGTGTGTTTGTACCTTTAGGGGAAATTGTAAACTCTTAGATTATTGAACTCTTCACGTGTTGCTTGCCTCTGTTTTCCTGAAGCTGGGGAGTTGTTCTAGCTCCGAACACCTACGTGGCTTTCCTGAAAACCCCGGAGCTGCAACATCAGCGAAACACGCTGTGGTGTAAAACACCTCCTCGGATAACATAAATCTAAACATCTAAAATTAATTTTCATTTCTCATACTTCAAAAAGACTGCCAGCAAACATCAACCACAGTTTGGAAGTAAACATGACCAAGGGGGTTTTAAGTTTTTTTAAGCTTCTTGGGGAAGCAGGAGGGGAAAAAGCAACATAACAAGCACTGTGATTATAACGAGTCTTCAAGTCCTCAGTGCTGCTTTCAGAAGGAGCAAATCCAGGACTGCCCCAGCAGTGACAGCCCTCATCCAAGCAGGAGGAAGTGCTCAAATACAACAGCTATTTTAATGGAAATTATGACTTATCTTGATATGTCAACACCTGCCTCCTTCCCCCAGACTTCCACCTGTAAAGCAGATGTTTACTTTGCAATTCTTTTGGAGCACTAAACTAACAAGAAAAACAAGTTACTTCAACATCCTTGAAGACCCACGTCCTTCATTAATCCACAGGGTACACACAGTAAAGTTCCCCAAGCTGACCCAGAGTGCCTAAAGCTTCATTAAAACCACCTTAAAGGGCTCCACCACAACTGGGATTTAGCAATGACAGATAAGGCACAAACAGCAATCGAAGGAGACAACAACTGCATTTTATCCTTTACCTTCAAAGGGTGCTTACAGTCACACCGTTATTTTTAAAGCATTCTTAGTCTAACCTGGCCTGCTTTGTCCTGCATTCATTAGGTAGAGCTGATATGAATAACATACTTAGCAAGATACTGCCAGTGTGAAGCCATTCCCCTTTGTCATGGCACTCCAGGCCCTCGTCCAAAGTCCCTCTTCACTTCCATCTGAAAGGCAGGCATTTCATACATGCATGAAATCTAAGTACAAGAGGGATTCAGCAGTGACCAGGGAAACTGTATTCTCATCTGATAACAGAACTAATTCCCTTTTACCTTCTTTGGTTTGCCACAGAATTACATTAAGCAGCATCTTGCCCTCTTTATTCAAAGACAGCGGCAGCCTCGATGATAAACACTCAACAGCCTGTAACGTTCTGCCAAACATTTACGAAGTAGTTTTCTTCTAATATTTAAAACTGAAATGTGATAATAGGCAATATTTAATACTGGATTTTGGTTTCACAGCAATAGTGTTTATTGGAGATAGACCTCAAGAAAACAAGGAAATAGGAGTACGTGTTTGAGTACATGCAGAACACACTGGAGAACTAAACACTCAGATGAGCCAAGAGCTGTGTTTCCTCCAGGACTCTCTCATGAAACCCTTGCTGAGAGTGAACTCAACACCCCTCCAGAGAGGTCTCACACATTAGCCTTCGTGCTTCCAGTCTGGTGTCCCAGTAAGGATACGGGGACCCAAAAGACGGGCTGGGAGAAACAGCCCCTCACGTAACTAAACCATTCCAGTGAAACTTGGTGGTCATGGGGCTTGTTATAAAAACCAACGCATATGGACCCCCATGCCCATAAAGGTGCCTCTCACATGCCATGACTGTTTCATAAAAAGGACATTAAAAAAGGCAATTTAGAAGACAGAGCAGTTACTGGCCTCGAAAAGCTTCCCCTGTTCCCCAGTGAAGCACTGAAATAACTAAAACCATGTTTACTGCAGTCTTGCTGCATTTATAGCTTGATAGGATGAAACTATAGAGCATAACCTTTCCA